ATCTTCTTGTTCAAGTTTCTGATCTTTTCTTCTAATGAGTTACTTCTGATCTGAAGTAGTGAATAAAGTGCATAAAGTGCATAAGAGATCACATCTTTGTTCTTTAATCTTCTGATAGAATATTTCTGATGTGAAATAATGCATATTCCATAAGACATTTCATTATAATATTTCTAAAGGTGTCAGAGTCTTCAGAATCAGAACCTTGTCTTTAGACTTGGAGCAACAGCTCATCTGAAAAACAAATATTGATATATGAGCTGAAAGAAAAAGCTTATCTGATGAAGCACGTCTTTGATTTATGAGCTTGAAGCAAAAGCTTACACATAAATTCTTTTCTTAGAAACTCATATTGACTTTTGAGCTTAAAGCAAAAGCTTATATGAGAAGCACAATTTGGTTTCTGAGTTAGAGTAGACACAAATATTCTCTTCTAGTAAACATTCAACATTCTTCAGAACTGTTGATATGTCTTGAGAAGTGAAAACAATAGTTCTTCAGATGGTTCCAGCACATTTCTGATGATTCTTCAGACAACAATCCTGAATCAATTAGAATTATTTACCTACACACTCAAAGAAACTATTAGAATATAAAATTGTTACACAAAAAATATATGTAATGTTATCTTCAGGCATATGTACAAATATTATCGCTTACAAAATCAGCACCGTGTATCATGTTAGTAACGCCAACTTATTATTTGCTTGTTATAAGCAACTCAAGAGTATTAAAATATATAGTACTTCAAAAGTGGATGTATCAATCATATGATAGGAGATAAAGATGATTTCATTGACATTGATCTCTCATTTGGCTTCAAAGTTAAATTAGGAAATGAATAATATGTCAAAGTTGAATACAAAGAAAGCATTGGAGGTAAGGTAATTCAGTATACTCTTTATGTTCCTAATTTAGATGAAAATCTATCAAGCATTAGGCAACTATTGAAGCTGGTTATTCTCTTCAATTTGATAATCAAAAGTGAAAAAATTTACTCAAAAGGAAGAGTTGTTTTTATTGAATGACCAAAAGCAAAAACTTTCCACCTTCTCTTAATTATGAGAAACATATTATCTTGATGGCTATAGAAGAAGGTGGCTCTTTTCTATGGAACAAGAGATTTGAACACTTCAACTATAACATTCTCACTTTGCTTTCTCAAAAGAATATGGTGTTCAAGTTTCCAATAATTGAAAAAGAAACATAAAGTATGCAAGGGATGTTTACTTGGAAAACATTGTCGACAACCGTCCCAAGGAAGAAGTGAGAAGAGCTAAAGATATGTTGAAATTGGTTCACACATATGTGTGTGGTTCTATGAATACCTTATCTCGTGCACAAAATAGGTATTTTATTCAATTTATTAATGATATGACCTGTATGACATGAGTTTATTTTATGAGACAAAAATTTGAAATATTTGTGATATTTAAGAAGTTTAAAGTTTTTATTGAGAAATAAAGTAGTCAGTCTATAAAAATTTTGAGAAGTGACAGGGGAAAAGAGTACACGTCTAATAAATTTGATAAATTTTATAAAGAATGAAGTGTTGAGAGGAAACTAACTATTGACTATACACCTCAACAAAATGTTGTATCTGAAAGAAAGAATCGAATTGTGATGGAGATGTCCAGGTCCATGTTGTTCGAGAAAGAGTTAAATAAATAATTTTGGTTTGAAGTTGTTAATACGGTTGTGTATTTGCGGAATAGATGTCCGACAATAGTTGTATGGAACATGACACTGTGTGAAGCATAGAGTGGAATGAAGCCTTCAATAAACCACCTTAAAGTTTTTTGGTGTGTCTGATATGTTTATATTCCTAAGTAAAGAGGACAAAACTTGAAGAATCAAATGACAAATGCATATTTATTGGCTATAGCTCTATGTCAAAGAGCTACATACATAACAATTTGAAGACCAAGAAAGTGATTTTCAGATGAGATGTTGTATTTAATAAAAAATACTTTTTAGGAATTAACAAAAGAAGAGTGTTGAGAAGAAAACGGTTCTTAGAGTCGTTTTAGAGCAAAATTCAACTTCTTTCGAAAGTGAGGAAAACCTTTCATCTATATCAAATTATCCATCTAGAACATTATCTTCACCAAACTCTAGCTCATAATCTCCAAGCTCAGCTCCAATAAATTAGGAGTTTATATGGTGTTTATGCTAGATGCAACTATTATAAAATTGAACCTTGAAATTTTGAAGAAACATTTCAAGAAGATGCTTAGAGGAAGGCAATGAAAGAAGAAATAGATATTGAAAAGAATAATACTTGAGAGAAAATGGAGAAGCCAAATGACAAAGACGTTATTGCTATGAAATAGGTCTACAAGGTGAAACATAATTCAGACAGTTCAGTCCAAAATAACAAAGCAAAACTTACTGCAAAGGGTTATGCACAACATACATGTATTGACTATGAAGAGACATTTGCCCTTGTGGCGCGTCTCGACACCGTTTGAGCATTAATCTCTCTTACAGACCAAAAAGAATGAAAGTTGTATCAACTAGATGTAAAGTCGACATTCTTAAATTGAGAATTGAAAGAATAAGTCTATATGGATGAACCTCAAGGCTTTGAGATTGAAGGTCAATAAGAAAAAGGTTTATAGATTGAAGAAATATCTTTATGGATTGAAACAAGTACCAAGAGTATTGTATAACAATATTGACAATTAGTTCATAGAGAAAGATTTTGAGAAGAGCGAGAATGAACCTACTTTGTATGTCAAACAACAGTGTATGATTGATATTTTAATTGTTGTACTTTATATGGGTGATTTAATCTTTACTGAAAATAACTTAAAGTTTATTGAAGATTTAAGAAAAGAAATGATGATGAGATATGAGATAAATGATTTGGGCCTACTATATCATTTTCTTGGAATTGAAATTTACCAAGACGATGATGATGTCTTCATTTATCAAAATAAATATGGTGAAAAAACATTGAAGAAATTTGGAATGTTTAGATACAATCCAATTGATACATCTTTAGTTGGGAATAAAAAATTGAAGAAAGAAGATGAAAGAAATAATGTTGATGCTAGTAATTATAGAAGTCTGGTTGGTAATCTATTTTACCTCACTAGTACAAGAAATGATATCATGTTTGCATCAAGTTTACTTTCTCAATTCATGAACGGTCCAAGCCATATATGTCTAGGATCAATAAAAGGGTTGTTGAGATATGTTCAAGGCACTTTGGACTATGGAACCAAATATGACAGTAGGGTTAAAATCAACTTAATTAATTTTTGCGACAGTAATCGGGCAAATTGTATGAATGACATGAAAGGCACCTTTGAATATATTTTTTTACTAGGTTCAGAAGTTGTTTCACGCTGCTCAAAGAGACAACAAATTGTTGCTCAATCTTCTGCAAAAGTTAAATATATTTCAGGTGGTTTAACTACCCAACAAGAATATAGTTGAAGAGAATACTTGAAGATTTTGGTGAAAAATAAGAAATTGTGACTGTCTATTATGATAATAAATCAGCAATTGTTATGGCTACGAATCCAATCTATCATGAAAGAACAAAACATAAAACATCATTTTACTCAAGAAATAGTTAAAGAAGAGGAGGTGCGGTTGAATTTTTTCAAAACAAATAATCAAGTTATTGATATTTTCAAAAAGCTTTTCCTAGAGAAAAATCTATAAATTAAGAGAAGTTCTTAGAGTTCAAAAACGGCACATTAACGGCACATTAAAGGGAGAATGTTGAGTAATGTGTTATACATGCTTGTATTAGAAATGTATATTTAAGTATTGTAGAAACATGTATTTAGACTGATATAAACTTATGTACCAGATGATTAATGATGTTTAAAGAGCTCTATCATTCACTACAAATAAAAATTCTCGATCATTTGATATGTAAGCAAAAACAAAACAAAAAAACAAAAAACAAAAAAATTTCAATCCCCTCTAAAATACCACCATTACACTTTAGTTTAGAATACAATACACATACATTTTAAGTGATGATTTGTCATAACAAGACTGTATGTACTAGTATGATATAAACTTTTAATTCAAGTGATATTCTGGTGAGATTAAAAGAAAAGGCGATAGATTGATTACTCGAAAAAGCCAAACAAAATAATTGAAGATGGTAGCAAGTAGCAACAAGCAACGTACTTATACCAGCATGCATTTCGTGGCTCACTTTAAAACCACACGTGCAGGAACCTTCCCATTCCTTTTTCCGTCAGAACAGCCGAAAGAGTTTTCATCTACTATTTCTAACCTTTTTTTTTTGTTTCTTGCGCTTTCCCTTCCCATTTTACGCGTTAATTATCTCACTCATTATTGTTTAATCTCTATTTATCCGCGTCAATTAATCTCATGTATATATATATAACACTATAATTCTAAAAAAAATCAATTTGTATCATATTTGACACATATACCAACACTGATTTTTCTTTTTTTTTTAATTATTACTTGTGTTGTTTGTATTCCGAGTGTTTGTGCATCCTAACTACAAGATTAATGAATGATTAAATACTGTACAATCAACCATTTAATGCTATCACCGAAATGTGTTAGAAATGGTACTATTTGACGGTGATTACGGAGAAGCGTGTGTGGGAGAGCGAGGATTATGAAACAGCGTTAACGTTTGTTTTTCGAGCCAAACCGGAACCCTGTTCACACAAACAAAGACTGAGTCAAAGGTACGTATGAAAGCATCGTGAGACCAACCGGCTAAACCTTGTCCGAACCATAAATTAACCTACACTTGTCGGTTAACTTACGTGTCAAGTGTGATGCTTCATTTTCCCACGTTCATTCAACATTACTACATCTTGTTGTACAAGTTTTCATTTTCCTGTTCCCACCTCCCTATTCCTATTCCACACACACCTTTCACTTTCTCATCCTTTCTTCTTCTATAAACCCAAAACCCCCCTCTCTCTCTCTCTCTAGATTAACCAACCCTATCTTATCTATCTAACTATCTTACTATATTTCAAACTCGGATGGAGAAAAAGAGTATGAATATAAATATGGATGATTATTCGACTGGATCTTTTCCTACATATTCGCTTACAAACATGTTTGATTTATCTGAAGAAAGGAGTTTCATGGAGCTATTAGGTGTGCAGAACATGAATAACAGTTACAGTTTTCTTGATTTTCCTGTTGATGTAAAGGAATCGATCACTGAGAATGGTGGAAATGGGAAAGAATCGTCTTTGAATAGTCAACAACAACAACCTGTTACTCCTAACTCTTCTTCTATTTCTTCTGCCTCTAGTGAAGCACTCAATGATGAACACAATAAAACTGTTGACCAAGCCGATCATCATCTCCAAAAACAGTGAGTGAATAGTTTCTTTTTCTTTTTCTATTTGTCTTTTCAGCTTTTGATTTTGTTCTTCTTAAACATGAGATTTTGTTTTGATTCTATTCTTCATGCTTAGATGAGTTGAAACTTAAGATAGTGACGTTTGATATTTGGAACATTAACTAGTTTGTGGGATCTAAGGTTATTGTTGTTGATGTTGTTAAGGTTGAAAGCTAAGAAGACAACGAATCAGAAGAGACAGAGAGAAGCTAGAATCGCGTTCATGACGAAAAGCGAGGTGGATCATTTGGAAGATGGGTACAGATGGAGAAAGTACGGTCAAAAAGCTGTTAAAAACAGCCCATTTCCGAGGTCGGTGTCCAATAGTAACACTTTAATATTCATATTCTTAATTTCTTCAAAAACACTTTCTATAATATTCATATTCTTAATTTCTTCAAAAAAATCTTTCTAATTTTGTATCCCTTTTATAGGAGCTATTATCGTTGCACCAGTGTTTCATGTAATGTGAAGAAACACGTGGAGAGGTCATTGAATGATCAAACCATTGTAGTAACAACCTACGAAGGGAAACACACACATCCAAATCCAGTTATGGGTCGTTCTTCAGCTTCTCATGTTGGATCTTTAGTATCACCACTAGCAGCTGAATGCACCACCACAAACTTTGGTGGTTCTGAAAACTACATGATGCCGTCTCAATATTATAATCACCACCGTCAACAGGTTCTCTTCAATACTTTGTCGTCTATGGGTTTTCCTTCAAAGATTCCTCAAGAGAGATTGGTTTGTAGTAATCCAAGGGTTATGGATCATGGTCTTCTTCAAGATGTTGTCCCTTCAAATATGTTTAAGGAGGAGTAGCTAAATCATTATGAACTCATTTCTTATGGTGCTTGATGGATCACTTTTTGTAGCTAGCTAGATATAGGAGACTTGGATGAGAAGTACTCCATTAGTGATGATCATATAATATATATACTGATAAACCCATATCATCTTTGTTATGCACAGATATAGGTCTTAATTATCATCAATATGAATTATGAATTTTTTTATCGTTGACACTCTCACCTGCTTCTTTAGAATATGTGTGTGTAGCGGGCATCCGGGCGTGGTCATGAAAAAACAAGCTTCTGTTCTTTTTTTTATTCTTAAGATTCTGATTTGATTAGGTTTCGAAAGCATATTATGTTTGTCACATTTAAGTGTGCTTTGCTAAAGTAATGGGGTTACACTGACATAGTTGGCATAGTTGAGAGTGCGAGTTTTTCTTATATGTTATTCCTTCTGTTTTAAAAGTTATTGTCAGTTCTGTGATACGGTGGCAGAACCGACTGTTAATACTGATTTGCGTTTTTTGTTCGCAAAATATTACGGTAAACAAGAGTCGTCAGAAAGTGTTAGCACATTTCTATCCGTGATTTTCCAATTACTCTTAGATACTTCCTCACAGATTAAAAAATATAATAATATTATCGAAAGATATTGTACTTTTATTAAATTAATCTTATTAATGTGTTAGAATTAATGTACAGACTAATAATTAAAGAATATAATTGAAAAAATAAAAACTATTACTATTAAAAAATAAAAATAACATTCATTTTTAAAAAAATTATTTTATTTAAAACCGCATTTATTTTAAAACGGAGCGAGTAGTTACTTTTTGTTGTGAAATGTGCACTGATTTTAATGTGGTGTAAAGATCGTTAGGTTTAGGTTTTGAAATGGGTGCAATTGGTGTGTAAGATTTTACTCTTTTTGCTTTGTCATAGTAGTCTACGGAAAACGAATTATAGGGAAATGTGTTAAAATTTGAAGCATATTATGTATCAATACCTAACAAAATACTTTCTCTGTTTCTTTTTAGTTTCAAAAAGTTGTCTTAAAATAATATTCTATTTACTTTTTCAATGTAATTATAATTAATTTTTATTAATTTTATTTTTTATATACATTTTTTTTAAGTATGACAATATATTATAATCAATAATAATAATAAAAGATAATTTTATAAAGATGTTATTTTTATTGACTTAATTATTATTTTTCTTAATCTCCTTATAAAAACCTTAAATGACTATTGTTTTGATATGGAAGGAGTAACAAATAGAAAGTGTAGTACTCACCATGAACTCCACTTTAAGCTCATTGAGTAAATGCTCTTATCATGCATACGATCAAATCCATTAAAGGACTTGATTCATTGGACAGACAAAGAAAAAGGAGATATTGTAAAAGGTGCTGACTGCTGACTATACAAAAGAAGAAATACTAGTTCAAACACAGTATTTGATTCGTGATTTGGTTCATGCCATACAACGGAATATAATTTTTGTGAGGACTTCTTTTAACTAAATATATTAAGGGATATCTTTATAAGCTTAGTTTTGATTGAGCAAGTTAAACTATAATATGGTAGTAATAATAACTAAATATGATTCTTCTTCTAAGGCAATTAAATCTAATTTTGGAAGATCAAGATCTAATCATTAAATCATGCCTCTTTTAAAGAACCCAGCAACTACAAACTAATCCCTTTGTTTTGTTGTTGTAAATAAAAGTTGATTTTCTTAACTCATTTAATAAATGATTTTTTTTACGGATAATAAATAATATATTTAAAAAGTACATTTTAGCTTATAATAAAAAATAGAGAATATTACACTTTTTTTTATATGCAAATTGTAGTGAATATTACACCGCGCATGTATATTATTAGTCAAAATTCACCCTTCTAACAAAATAGTTTGTAACAATAGCAAATAAGTTATCATGAAGTGGATAAATTTACTGATTTTAGTTATAGTATTTGATAAAATTAATAGTTTAACCAACTTATAAATGTGAAACGACACTCAAAAATGTGTTAAAATTATTTTTAATTTTTTTATTTAAAATGACAAGTAAAATAGAGAGAAAAAAGGTTAAGTTATAAATTATTTGAATAAACTTGTAAAAATCTATAAATTAATAAAAGTAAATTATAAAATTGTAAAAAAAAAATGATAGTTACATGTTTTTTTAAAAGATATGAATAAAATATAACTTATAAGCTCAAAAAACTATTTTAATGATGGAGTAAGGATGGAGAGGATCCTTACTCCTTAATGATGTGATTTCCCAATCTTTGTCACCATCAATGAATCTTTTCTATATAGAATGTGATTCAACCAAAGGCAAAATGTATTTAAATTTTGGTAATCATTTATCACATGGCATTACTGAGCATAAAACACCATTCAATTTCATTATGACAATAATTGAGAGCAAAGACTAACTCAGTGAATTGCACTTCTTAAATTTGTAGTCCCTACATCAGCAGTGGAGCCAGATTTCTTATCCAGCTCACTAAGCTTTGAACGACTACACGTTTCTTTCACTTACAAGCTATAAGCAATACAAGTACAAGATAAAGATATTGACAGCACCCTCCGGCCTACCATTGTGACATTTCGAACCCAATTGAAGTTTCAATCTCCCTTCTCTTTCGCTCCAAAGGAAAAATTAAGCCCCCATGGACGATTTTTGGACTAAATATTTAGATTATATTTCCCTTTCTTGATAGAACTTACTTTTAAAGATACTTTCTACTGCATTTTAGGTGACTACATCTGCTTGTAACATGCTTGGCGTCTAATTCCTAATCTAATTTAAGTTTCTATCAGAATGCAACAAATTCCCCAATTACAAATCATTGAAATAAACAGTGAGGAAATAAATGTAGAACCTTTGGAGAAAGATTATGTTAGATCTGTAACAATTTGAAGGCCACTTTATAATTATAATTATAATTGTTGACTATATGTGACTCCAGTACCACAAGAAGAAAAATAAAATCACACCTGTTCAACAACAGGATTTGTTTCTGACTGCATGTAATCGTGATTTGATTCCTGCAAAATTACAGGATGTCAGAAAAACAGGATTGAGCAGCAAATGCAGTGCCCTCCTTTAACTAAACGGAGGTTATTTGCATGCAATTAGATATTGCAATACGGCCATGTTTAAGTCTAAACTAGGCAGGCTGGTATGGATAGCTTTTATAATGTCAGGAATAAGAATGGACCTGTTGCCTTTGAGAAACTTTTTGAGGGGAAGATAGCGACAACTGCAGGCAAGGAATGCTGTGATCATCTTGCTTGTGTTGCTTCTGTGATTCCCGCGGGCAAGGAATGCTGTGATCATCTTGCTTGTGTTGCTCCTGTGATTCCTGCGGGAAAGGAATGCTGTGATCATCTTGCTTGTGTTGCTTCTGTGTTTCCTGCGGGCAAGGAATGTTGTGATCATCTTGCTTGTGTTGCTTCTGTGATTCCTGCGGGCAAGGAATGTTGTGATCATCTTGCTTGTGTTGCTTCTGTGATTCCTGCGGGCAAGGAATGCTGTGATCATCTTGCTTGCGTTGCTTCTGTGATTCCTGGTCATATTCTTCTGGCTTTTCCCACTGCACCAACAGTAAGCATTACAACAAAGTAATCGAAACCCATAGCAGTTGGTGTGAATAAGATCAAAAGTTTCAAACATTACTCTGCTTTCGCAAGTGACACAGTTGTAGTAGTACTTGTTACCATCTGGGCAGTAATGTTCACTCCAGTCACACTCTGGAAACTCTTCATCTTCGGGATTAGTAGAAAGATCGGGCGATGTGCTGACAGTACCTAAACTGTTATGCTCAGTCTGAGTAGGCAGCTGGGAAGAACAATAAATGAGAAAATTATTGCAGTCTGCCAAATAAAGATTCCTAACCAGTATCTTGTCATATTGAATGATTCATCTAAACGCTTGTTTTGTAATGTATTTGTAGTGGTATACAGAGAAAATATTCAGCATAAATCTAAATGAATGACATGCTCAATAGTTTACCATTACTTACAACAGTAACTTTCCAATACCGCTCCTCAATTATAACACCTCATTATTATCATTTTAATAAAAAAGCCGAGACATATTCAAAATCTTCATAGTAGAAACATTTGTGAAGGCTAAGATTCAGAAGGTTTAAAGAGAATATGAAATGTGATGAGGAGATTTGAGGATATTATTACTGACAACAAACTTATACCCAAGATTATACTAAATACTAATACAGCCTCACCTATTAGTCCAACTCTTCAATAAGAAAAATTTACCTGTCACAACCCCAACCAAAACATCCCTGAAACATCTAACACTGTATTACTACCTGTTTAGCAACTAACCTGAGAACTTAGCTGCTGCTCTATATTTTGGACGGGGAAATCCGCTGGATGAAATTGTCTCTGCACCTCGGTAATAAATGGTTGAGAAGGCAGGTTGGGAGGTTGAATTGGCCGCAAAGGCATTGAAGCCAATTGAGAATGTACATGTTGGGGAAGAAATTGTTGCTGTACAACAGTAGCCCCAGGTTCCCAGTTTGGCATATGAGCGTTAACTTGTTGGTGTGGAAGTCTGGAATGATGTGGAGCAATATGCGCAAAACTCCCTCCAGTATTAGAATCACAAAAATTTGGTAGTGGCCTGTGACAAGCCATTAAACAGAAACATATTCAGCAAGTGGCATGTGTATTGCAATCTGTAAAGGAAGTCTAAAGTGGAAGATGAAGAAGAAAAACAAACCAAACTGCTGGTTCTTGAGAAGTGGGACCGAAATTGGCATTCGCAGGTAAGTAGTTGCCCCTAAAGAGATGTAAAAAAACATTGGTAGTGTTTGATTTTTAAATGCTGATTGCGGATATTATAAATAAGCATGTTTGTAAGAAATGCTTTATAAAGAAGCAACTTTGTCTTATTTGCTTGGGTTTGACCATCAATACAACTGGCAACAATCAAAACACCAATTATGGCATTCTAAGACTGAAAGTGGCTTCCTCCTCAAACGACCA